CGGCCTGACGACACTGGAGGACAGGAGGGCTATGAGAGACGTGATAACGACATGTAGAATACTGCGAGCAATTGACATGGTGGACAAAGACAGGATGTTCCTGAGATGAGACACAGAAACAATGGGTCACAATTGGAAGCTGATGACTCCGATCTGTCGAATGGATGTTAAGAAGTATTTCTTCAGTCAGAGTTGTTAGGAAGTGGAATAGCCTAGAAAGTGACGTAGTTTACCTGGAGTTTACCTGGAGAGAGTTTCGGGGGTCAACGCCCCCGCGGCCCGGTCTGTGACCAGGCCTCCTGGTGGATCAGCGCCTGATCAACCAGGCTGTTGCTGCTGGCTGCACGCAAACCAACGTACGAGCCACAGCCCGGCTGATCAGGAACTGACTTTAGGTGCTTGTCCAGTGCCAGCTTGAAGACTGCCAGGGGTCTGTTGGTAATCCCCCTTATGTGTGCTGGGAGGCAGTTGAACAGTCTCGGGCCCCTGACACTTATTGTATGGTCTCTTAACGTGCTAGTGACACCCCTGCTTTTCATTGGGGGGATGGTGCATCGTCTGCCAAGTCTTTTGCTTTCGTAGTGAGTGATTTTCGTGTGCAAGTTCGGTACTAGTCCCTCTAGGATTTTCCAGGTGTATATAATCATGTATCTCTCCCTCCTGCGTTCCAGGGAATACAGGTTTAGAAACCTCAAGCGCTCCCAGTAATTGAGGTGTTTTATCTCCGTTATGCGGGCCGTGAAAGTTCTCTGTACATTTTCTAGGTCGGCAATTTCACCAGCCTTGAAAGGTGCTGTTAGAGTGCAGCAATATTCCAGCCTAGATAGAACAAGTGACCTGAAGAGTGTCATCATGGGCTTGGCCTCCCTAGTTTTGAAGGTTCTCATTATCCATCCTGTCATTTTTCTAGCAGATGCGATTGATACAATGTTATGGTCCTTGAAGGTGAGATCCTCCGACATAATCACTCCCAGGTCTTTGACGTTGGTGTTTCGCTCTATTTTGTGGCCAGAATTTGTTTTGTACTCTGATGAAGATTTAATTTCCTCATGTTTACCATATCTGAGTAATTGAAATTTCTCATCGTTGAACTTCATATTGTTTTCTGCAGCCCACTGAAAGATTTGGTTGATGTCCGCCTGGAGCCTTGCAGTGTCTGCAATGGAAGACACTGTCATGCAGATTCGGGTGTCATCTGCAAAGGAAGACACGGTACTGTGGCTGACATCCTTGTCTATGTCAGATATGAGGATGAGGAACAAGATGGGAGCTAGTACTGTGCCTTGTGGAACAGAGCTACTTTTTTTAGTGGAGGCAAGAAGCATACATAGTTTTAATACGTGGTTTGATGAAGCTCGTGGAGCAGGGAGAGAGAGAGAGGACCTAGTAGCGATCAGTGAAGAGGCGGGGCAAGGAGCTATGACTCGACGCCTGTAACCACAAATAGGTGAGCACAAATAAGTGAGTACACACACACACACACACACACACACACACACACACACACACACACACACACACACACACACACACACATATGGGCGCCTAGCAAACCTCAGAACAGCATTCCGACATCTTAATAAGGAATCATTCAGGACCCTGTACACCGTGTACGTTAGGCCCATATTGGAGTATGCGGCACCAGTTTGGAACCCACACCTAGCCAAGCACGTGAAGAAACTAGAGAAAGTGCAAAGGTTTGCAACAAGACTAGTCCCAGAGCTAAGAGGTATGTCTTACGAGGAGAGGTTAAGGGAAATCAACCTGACGACACTGGAGGACAGGAGAGATAGGGGGGACATGATAACGACATACAAAATACTGAGAGGAATTGACAAGGTGGACAAAGACAGGATGTTCCAGAGATTGGACACAGTAACAAGGGGACACAGTTGGAAGCTGAAGACACAGATGAATCACAGGGATGTTAGGAAGTATTTCTTCAACCACAGAGTAGTCAGTAAGTGGAATAGTTTGGGAAGCGATGTAGTGGAGGCAGGATCCATACATAGCTTTAAGCAGAGGTATGATAAAGCTCAAGGCTCAGGGAGAGTGACCTAGTAGCGATCAGTGAAGAGGCGGGGCCAGGAGCTCGGACTCGACCCCCGCAACCTCAACTAGGGGAGTACAACTAGGTGAGTACACACACACACAAACACATAAGAGTTGTCAGGAAGCGGAATAGTCTGGAAAATGACGTAGTGTATACCTGGGGAGGGTTTCGGGGGTCAACGCCCTCGTGGCCCGGTCTGTGACCAGGCCTCATTGTGGATCAGGGCCTGATTAGCCGTATGCTGGCCGTATGCAACCCGACGTACGAACCACAGCCCTGCTGGTCAAGTACTGACTTTAGGTGCCTGTCCAGCGCCTTCTTGAAGACAGCCAGGGGTCTATTGGTAATCCCCCTTATGTATGCTGGAAGGCAGCTGAACAGTCTTGGGCCCCTGACATTTGTTGTGTTTTCTCTTATCGTGCTAGTGGCACCCCTGCTTTTCATACTAATCCCTCTAGGATTTTCCAAGTGTATATAATCGTGTATCTCTCCCGTCTGCATTCTAGTGAGTACAGGTTGAGAAACTTCAAGCGTTCCCATTAATTTAGGTGTTTTATCGCAGTTATGTGTGCCGTGAAGGTTCTCTGTACATTTTCTAGTTCAGCAATTTCACCTGCCTTGAAAGGTGCTGTTAGTGTGCAGCAATATTCCAGCCTAGATAGAACAAGCGATCTGAAGAGTGTCATCATGGGCTTGACATCCCAATTTTTGAAGGTTCTCATTATCCATCCTGTCATTTTTCTAGCAGATGCGATTGATAGTGTTATGGTCTTTAAAGGTGAGATCCTCTGACATAATCACTCCCAGATCTTTTACATTAGTTTTTCGCTCTATTATGTGGTTGGAATTTGTTTTATAATCTGATATAGTTTTAATTTCTTCACGTTTTCCATATCGAAGTAAATGAATTTTCTCATCATTGAACTTCATATTGTTTTCTGTGACCCATTTAAAGATCTGGTTGATGTCCACCTGGAGTCTTGCAGTGTCTTCAGTGGAGGACACTCATGCAAATTCGGGTGTCATCTGCAAGGGAAGACACAGTGCTGTGATTTATATCCTTGTCTATGTCAGATATGAGCCAATAAACTTACGCTTAACACTGACAAAACTTACTATATTATGTTTGGTAGCAGAGCAGGAGATGCACAAATTAACATTAAGATTGACAACACTCTAATTACCAGAAATAATGGGGGAAAATTCCTAGGCTTATACCTTGACAACAACCTGAATTTCAGCACCCATATCCAGCATATAGCCAAAAAAGTATCCAAAACGGTTGGGATCCTCTCCAAGATACGATACTATGTGCCGCAAAATGCCCTTCTCACACTATACCACTCACTTATTTATCCATACCTCACCTACGCTATTTGTGCTTGGGGATCAACTGCAGCAACACACCTAAAGCCAATAATAACCCAACAAAAAGCTACAGTAAGAATAATCACTAAATCCCATCCCTGGCAGCACACCCCCCCACTCTTCAAAGATCTAAACTTACTCCCAGTTCAGTACATCCACACTTACTACTGTGCAATCTATATCTACAGGGCCTTAAACTCTAATATCAACCTTGACCTAAAACGCTTTCTTGATAGTTGTGACAGAACCCACAGGCATAACACCAGAAACAAACATCTCTACGACATTCCCCGTGTCCGACTAAACCTTTACAAAAATTCAATGTATGTCAAAGGCCCTAAAATCTGGAATACCCTACCTGAGAACTCTAGAACTGCAGACACCTTCATCACCTTCAAAACTACCAATGTATGTCAAAGGCCCTAAAATCTGGAATACCCTACCTGAGAACTCTAGAACTGCAGACACCTTCATCACCTTCAAAACTACCATTAGAAAACATCTTATCTCCCTGATACACCCCATCAACTAACTACACGAATACCACCTGGTGGTTCACACTTACACTCGCTCACTCATTTGACCATAAACAGAAACAGAAATATTAATCTCAGTCTTAAAATAATGAATCCTGTGATACTCCAATACTGAAACTATATACTGTGCCAAAACAAAAGCATTCACATTGCTAAACTCACAAACTAGTATTTAGTCACTTAGCCATAATACCAACTTACCTCATAATTTGTAATATTTTACGATTAAGAATAAAACTAAGTATGCCCGAAATGCCTAGCCATGCTAAGCGTTCTAGTGGTACACTCTGTAATCACAATTTTACTACATGTAAACCAAACAATAACCAAATTTCTGTAAACTCAGCATTGTAATCCTTATAGAGAATAAACTTTGAATTTGAATTTGAATGAGGATAAGAAACAGGATGGGGGCGAATATTGTGCTTTATGAAATAGAGCTTTTCATCGTAGCCACCTCAGACTTTATTCTTTGTGTTCTATTTGTCGGAAAATTATAGATCCATCTTCCAACTTTTCCTGTTATTCCTTTATCATGCATTTTGTGCGCTATTACACCATGGTCACACTTGTCAATGGCTTTTGCAAAGCCTGTGTGTACTACATCTGCCTTTTGTTTGTCTCCTAGAGCATCGAGGACCTTGTCATAGTGGTCCAGTAGTTGGGACAGACAGGAGCGACCTGCTCTAAACCCGTGTTGCCCTGGGTTGTGTAACTGATGGGTATCGAGATGGGTGGCAGGAATCATACATAGTTTTAAGACGAGTGAAGAGGCGGGGCCAGGAGCTATGACTCAACCCCCGCGACCACAAATAGGTGAGTACAATATGTACACTATGTGTAAGTTTATTCAGCAGTAAATATGTACCTATAGTAGATTCAGTAGTATAATAATAATAATAATATTTTCGGTATTTTATACCTTTCTTGCACAATAATAATAATAATAATAATAATAATAATAATAATCTTTATTTCTACAAACACATGTACAGTGTATACAGGCTCAGCTGACATCAACTATTATACAGACCATTTCGGACAAATTAGGACAGTTTTGTCCCCAGGATGCGACCCACAAATATGATCATAATACATAAGCACAGGAATAAGTTAGTTTATTCTGGTATACACAAATACAGTTACATAGAATTATCATACATAGCAACATATGTGTAGAGAACATAGGATAACCCCAAAAAAGTCAGAAAAAGTGACATTTCCATTGGGGTCCTTTTAATACCTTATTATTATACTATGAAAGAGGTAATATATTATTATTATACTATAAAGGTGATATACTTGGAATAATGTAAAATAAGTTATTTACATTTACATGTGTTAGCTAAAAAAAATAAAAATTCATTCTCCTCTCTTTCTGTCGCTACATTCATTAGGTACCTTTTGGTTCTCTTCTTGAACTGGTTCATGCTATGACTGGCTTTGACATGTGCGGGCAGTCTGTTCCATTCATTTATTGCTGTACAATAAAAGGTGTTTGAAGCTTAGCCACTGACTGTGGGTACTACAAAGTTGTGTTCTCTCCCCTTAGTACTGTGATTACTTTGGTTCCCAACCTTGACAAAATTAGCAGCAAGATATTCTGGACACTGTCTGTGAGCAACTTTGTAAATTTGATTTAACTTCAGTTATTTTACTCTGTCTTCAACATTCAGCATAACCAGTTGTTGTAATTCATCCTGGCCTACATGTTCTCTTGGTCCCAGGTCCAGGATGAATCTTACCATTTTGTTCTGGGTGAACTGCAGTTTATCTTTCGTTTTTTTTTTTTGTCAAGGCAGAGTACCATGAAGAGCAAGCGTAGTCCATATGACATTGTATAAGAGCTAGACATAGGGTCCTGCGAGCCTCAGTAGGTAGACACTGTGCTTGTCTGTAGAGGAACTTCAGTCTGGCATTCGCTGCCTTTACAACACTGTTTCCTATCAATTCACCTGACATGCATGGGTCATAGGGGATTCCCAGATATTTTACTGAGGAAACTAAAGTGGAGGGTTCCCCATTTCACAGGATATTAAAATTATTTACAACAAGAGGAAAGCAATTATCAACCGGTATTACTAACATGTATACTGTCTAAAGTGAGAAAATAAGGTAATAAAGAAGTTAATTAAGCGACTAACATTTGACCGTAAGATCTGCCTCATGAACTTACAGATTTATAGCAGAATAATAAAGCTGAAGAGAAGTAGATAGGGCATGGTAAATTGCATATTCTTGGGCTACAATGAAGCATTTAACAGAAACTCAGTGGCCTCTTTATTAGGTACACCTGTACACCTGCTCATTAATGTAAATATCTACAGGTTCCTAAGAAGTTATTAACAATGTGATCTTTCAAGTGATATCAAAAGATGCTCTTAGACATTCCTTGTGACATGTTTCTTAAGGGTCTTCTAGCAATGGGTGGATTTTAATACTATAAAAAACAGGAACTACTCCCTTCAGAGGAGTCCTTTGCTGCCAGTGAAGAGCTCTTGATCTAAGGAATTGGAACTACCCTTCTCCTTCGTCGAATCAACCTTATTTACCCCCAACTTTCCCATTTCATGAACTTCGGCAGTGAAAAGATCAAATCAAGTTACAGAACAAGCTTTAACTGAAACATTTCGCTGTGTGTAGAGTTCCATCAAGTCTTGCAAGTCATGACTTAATAAAACTCTATATAGAGCGAAACTTTGTCCTGATAAAAGCTCGTCTTTGTCTTTTGAAGTCGTTTCACCCTATTGTTGGTAGATTCCCTGAGGCTCCCCAGGCACGATGAAGGTCTTCTGAAGAGTACTCTCGTAGTAACACGCCTGTTTGGCCTCCCCCTCGAACTTTTCATTGCAAGAAAACAGTATCTGGTGCATCTTGTTACAGACTCTCTCGAGAACCTGTGTAATGTTGTCGCTGCGGTGTTGTTCCAGTAGACGACACACTGTGTCCACGTACACTGAGCCTAATAAAGACACATAGACAGTACCTTAAATTGAGACATTTTGATGAACGTATGAAAGGTCAGATGTATGTTACTGACATATGTAGAAAGGATAATGAATGACTCACAAAGTTAGTATGATTACCACCTAATAAAAATTCAATTACAGTGTCGCTATTATCATCTTAGGGAACTACTAAGAAGTGATTACCTCTTTATTTTTAATTAGGGTGTAAAACCTAGCTCTGGTAGCCAACTAAAGCTTCAACTGTTACGGTTGCTATTATTATTATTAGTAGTAGTAGTAGGAGGAGGAGGAGGAGGAGGAGGAGGTAGTAGAAATATTAGCAGTAGTAATATTAGTAGTAATTGTAATCCTGACCAATGAATGGGAACCCCAAACACTTGCCTCCATCGGGTAACCTGAAGGAGTATTGCTCGGGTAGAGTTGCATTAGCAACCAAGCGATCCATCCTGTAGTAGACGGCTGTGATGTTGTGGCAGTTCTCTGGGATTACTGAAAAAGCCTCTCCCTCCTTGGTCCCGTCCACCGCCACTCGGACCCCATCTTTTTTCCAGAGAGGAAAGTTGCAGTTAAGAAGTGAGCAAGATGATGGGAAAAGATGAAAGATATGGGGTAATAGGCAGATATAAAGCAATGATGTATAGCATCCTAATGGGACGCGAAAAAGCGTTTATTAACAAGTACTTCACTTGATGAAATTAGAGACAGACTTACAGTTAGAACTGAGGTGCCACAAGGATCAATATTTAACTAAGACAATATTTACAAACTTGTAAATAAAAAAATGAACCAGCAGCAGACGCCGCTGGTTCAGTATGTATCAACAATAGTTAATACCATTCAAAGCAACAAACCAATCGTATATCATCCATAATTAACTCCTTTTATACTAATCCACGTATCAGTGTATAGGCAGTCTTCCCTAACTTAACTATATCACCCATCCTTACCTACATTTTACAAAGAATCTTTCAGGCTGTGGCACCAGTGATGAGCCCTGAATAAGTTAAGTACATAAAGAAACTAGAGAAAATACAGCAACTGTCATCAGACAATCAAGTGTTGTAAGTCATACAAAAGATAAAGTCTCACAATAGAAGGCTGAAAATTGAAAAATGTTACTATAACATACAAAATAATCACTATAAGTGACATGGTGTACATAATCCCTCCATTTGACAGTATATACTGTACTCTAAAAGCTAGTAGTTTATATCAAAAATTATGTGTTATTTGCAAGAAAATTATTTTTTAAATATATTTTTCGTAAAATGAATAAAAATGTCTTATTAAATACTTCTTTAGCAATTTTAAATTGTTATAAATAGAGTTCATACTTATTAAAAAGCACATTTTACCATAAAATGAACTTATAGATTTTTTCCAAATATAAAGCATTCCGATCCAAGGATGTGTTAAATTGCCTTTCTTGCACACCACTTCCGTAGATAACAATATAATTCTCTCGTTTTATTTCTAGACACAAGTCGTGTGCCTTGCCTGCAAAATAGTAGCTAATATATTTTACATTTATATTTTATTTCATTGTCATCAAACTTACACCAATGATCTCAAACAATGATCCGTTTTTCGTGTTATTTTACAAAATCTTTACCGCTACACACACCCTCTGTTAGGTTCACCAAAAACAGCTAGGTTTATGTACATTCTTGGTAGCACCGTCTTCGTTTTGCCCTCACCACACCACAAGAACCTAACACTTACTTTTCTTTTTGATTGATATGGTTTTTCTCCCTCGACAAGATGCCATAAAAAATAATTTTGGCTTCTTTCTGAAGCTGTCCATTTTAGAGAACTCGTCGATAAAATCCTGCCGCTTATAATCCTCGCCATCGGCTAACTTCAGGTTGGTCTCTGTGCCATGAGCCATGAACCAGTATACGATAGAGTCATAGAAGCGATACTTTGGCTTCAGCAGCTCTTTCCTGCACTTCTGCAGTGTCTTGTGAGTTGGGTTTTCTTCAATGTGAACTGTGTAACCAAGAGAATTCTCAAAAACACTTTTAACTTTTTTTATTTCTCCTTGTGCTCCTTTTCTGTCCTTGGTGACGCAGAAGACGAGGCAGTGACCGGCTGGTCGACACTTCATGGGGTACACACTCAGAGTACTGACCACACCCTTGATAATGAGCCGATCATTCTTGTCTGTTACTGCTTTGCTCACTCTTTCCAGGAGTTCTTCAAGTTTGCCTGTATATATACGGTTGAGTTTATCGTTTTCCTCTAAAACTCTGATCATGTAGAAAAATAAAACCTCCTTCAGACCATCTGTCTTACTTAACTTCTCCAAGGAAATATCAAGTTTTGTATGAACGAATTTGCTGAGACTCTCATCATTTTTCACAGTATCCAGCAGCTGATGGACGATAGGGATCGTCAGATGGTCACATATACGGCAAATGCGCAAACTGTCAGCATTTGTGAAGAAAGTGGTCTTCTTTTCTTCTTCTGTAAGCAATAATTTCTTCTGGACTTTTTCAATCTTGTCTTCAAGGCCTTGACAATCGATTTCGAGGTAACGGCAAATCTCAACCAGAGTCAGCAGGTGTTCGTCTTGCTTCCTCACAGCCCAGTTAGCACCTTCAGAGTCCTCTTCCAGCGTTATTATTGAATAATCCACCAGCTCCATAACGCGTCTCCGAAGCACCTCCAAGACTGAACTAAAACTGAATTCTTCGTCTGTCAAGACTGAAACGAAAGCCTTTTGAGCCTCGAGAGTTGGACGAGTTTTCTTTTCGGCCATGTTCTCCGTGCTGTTATGATCTTTGAGGGATGATGGTATTTCCTCAAGTACAGTGGTCTCCGTGCTGTCCAGTGTCTTGTCTCCGTTGTCCAGGAGAAATAGGAACTTTGTTAGTTTACTGAACTGGATGTTAGTCCACTCTATGGGAGGAGATTTTCTGTTCTTTGTAACAATATTTCCGTCACCTGGAAAAAACAAAGAAAACGTCAGAAAGCTTTATACAGGTTTGTGGAGCATCGAGAAATTTCTATATATAGTGATGAGTTAAGCTCTCATGTGTGATGGGGCCTTTCATATCTCGTTTACTTTACAGCATTAAGCATTAACCTGTTCATCATTGTTCACTGCTGCTTGACCTAATTCATGTCTACATAAATAACTCATTACGATTGTAGCTAGATATAAACATGTAAATAGTTCATTACCACTGTAACTTGTTCAGCTATCAAAACTTAGCGATCCAGTTCCTGGACCCATTATGTACCTCTGTAATCCTTTGACTACCACCCACAGGATGGGTATGGGGTGTATAATAAAGATATTAAATTAACTAATGAAAATGTAAGACCCATGAATGACTTAGTATTACATGTTGTTCATTTTATTTCATTCCTTTTCTGTTACGACTCCACCACAATGGTGTGTATATCTTATTGTAACATGTACTGTAGAGTATATGATTACTGTATGAAATCAACCTAAATTTATGATACATTTATGCCACACGGTAAGCCCATATTTAATCCTAGTATAAGATTACTGCCAAATATTATGTTCTGCACAATATTTTCCACACACACACACACACACACATAGAGTTGTCAGGAAGTGGAATAGTCTGAAAAGTGACGTAGTGGAGGCAGGAACCATACATAGTTTTAAGACGAGGTTTGATAAAACTCATGGAGCAGGGAGAGAGAGAGAGAGGACCTAGTAGCGACCAGGGAAGAGGTGGGGCCAGGAGCTATGAATCGAACCCTGCAACCACAAACAGGTGAGTACACACACACTGTAAACTATGTGGACACCATGAATCACATCCACTATCGCAGTTTACTCCAAGGTGACGAAATTCGTGCAATAGAATGACACGATAATCTCCATTTCTTCTCGGTTCTGGACCGGCATTTAATACGGGTAGACAAGTAAATGGAACAGTTGTAGTTACTTTTTTTTTTAATCGGGGGAAGCGCTAAACCCGTATTGGTCATGTGGCACCCTGGATAATGGGAAGCACTTGAGATTCGATCCAAGGAAGGAAAGGAAAAATCCAGTTTCTGGGATCATGAACCCCCCCCTCCCCCCTCCTCACAGGGTGACAGATCAGTCGTAGTAGCGGCTGTGTTAAGCAAGTTTATTAAGGTACAGGTGCATGTAAGTACAATTATCATACGTAGTAACATACTAACATACACGCACGTGTATACAACAGGCCTAGTATCTAATCGACATGTGCCTAGGACAAAATGGTAAATAACGTGTCACTGGAATTTCTTCATAGACTTGGCACATTTCTTCACAAGAGCGAAAAACCTCAAGCAACACTCACAGTTATAAAGTATTAAAATAATGTTAATGGTTCTTGGGGCGACATTTCCTCTAAGATCTGCGCAGCGCCAGGATTTTTTTTTTGTTACTTTCAGGGCAGAGTATATGGTGATGTCCGTTAATTACCTCTTTTAATAGATCAAAACAAAAAACAAAAATTATGGCTCGCATATATCAAGTCATTTTGTACCGTGCAGAGTATTCGCATTTTATATATTGTGAAAATTTTCTTATATAATACAGTTTATACATAAGAAAATTTAACAAGCACTCTTCATATGAATTAGCACAGACATCACTTAAATATATAATTATTCAAACCATAGCTGGATACAAAGAAAAGTGTGTTGAAACATCATAACAGAGCACATATGTATGACAATTATGGTAAATGAGTACCAACAGCGTTTTGAAGAAACTAAAGTACAGCTTAGAAACTTTATTACTGAAATTCATCATAGTTGTTGGCTCCGTTACAGGCTTTGTCAAGCCAATAATGGTTACCTAAACCGCATTTTAGTGTTCTTTTCGACAGAGATACGTCACTGATTAACTTACTGACACATCAACACACACGTATATATATATATATATATATATATATATAATATATTATATATATATATATATATATATATATATATATTATATATATATATATATATATATATATTATATATATTTATATATATATATATATATATATATATATATATATATACATATAAATGTCGTGCCGAATAGGCAGAACTTGCGATCTTGGCTTAAATAGCAACGCTCATCTTGCCATATAGGACAAGTGAAAATTTGTGTATGCAATAATTTCGCCAAAATCATTCTGAACCAAACGAAAAAAATATATTTCACTGTGTGATAAGAAATGTCACCATATCAAAAACATACTCAGATCACAACATAATTGAGGTTCAGTCATGTATGCGCGGAGCCCCAGACCGACATAATGAGATTAGTCACGAGGGAGCATTCACCAAATTCAACTTCAATAACAAAAACATAAAGTGGGACCAAGTAAACCAAGTCCTAACCGATATAAGCTGGGAAGATATACTAAGCAACACAGACCCCAACTTATGCCTAGAACAGATTAACTCGGTGGCACTCGATGTATGCACAAGGCTTATTCCTCTAAGAAAAAGGAGGAGTAGATGTAAAATAGAAAGAGACAGGCGCTCCCTTTACAGGCGACGGGAAAGAATAACAGAGCGGCTAAAAGAGGTCAATATATCTGAAATGCGTAGGGAGACACTGGTCAGAGAAATAGCAAGCATCGAACTTAAGCTAAAAGAATCCTTTAGGAGTCAGGAATCGCGGGAAGAACTAAAAGCCATAAATGAAATCGAAAGAAACCCAAAGTATTTCTTCTCCTATGCCAAATCAAAATCGAGAACAACGTCCAGTATTGGGCCCCTACTTAAACAAGATGGGTCCTACACAGATGACAGCAAGGAAATGAGTGAGCTACTCAAGTCCCAATATGACTCAGTTTTTAGCAAGCCGCTAACCAGACTGAGAGTCGAAGATCAAAATGAATTTTTTATTAGAGAGCCACAAAATTTGATTAACACAACCCTATCCGATGTTATCCTGACGCCAAATGACTTCGAACAGGCGATAAATGACATGTCCATGCACTCTGCCCCAGGGCCAGACTCATGGAACTCTGTGTTCATCAAGAACTGCAAGAAGCCCCTATCACGAGCCTTTTCCATCCTATGGAGAGGGAGCATGGACACGGGGGTCGTCCCACAGTTACTAAAACAACAGACATAGCCCCACTCCACAAAGGGGGCAGTAAAGCAACAGCAAAGAACTACAGACCAATAGCACTAACATCCCATATCATAAAAATCTTTGAAAGGGTCCTAAGAAGCAAGATCACCACCCATGTAGAAACCCATCAGTTACACAACCCAGGGCAACATGGGTTTAGAACAGGTCGCTCCTGTCTGTCTCAACTATTGGATCACTACGACAAGGTCCTAAATGCACTAGAAGACAAAAAGAATGCAGATGTAATATATACAGACTTTGCAAAAGCCTTCGACAAGTGTGACCATGGCGTAATAGCGCACAAAAGCGTGCTAAAGGAATAACAGGAAAAGTCGGTCGATGGATCTATAATTTCCTCACTAACAGAACACAGAGAGTAGTCGTCAACAGAGTAAAGTCCGAGGCAGCTACGGTGAAAAGCTCTGTTCCACAAGGCACAGTACTCGCTCCCATCTTGTTCCTCATCCTCATATCCGACATAGACAAGGATGTCAGCCACAGCACCGTGTCTTCCTTGCAGATGACACCCCGAATCTGCATGACAGTGTCTTCCATTGCAGACACTGCAAAGCTCCAGGCGGACATCAACCAAATCTTTCAGTGGGCTGCAGAAAACAATATGAAGTTCAACGATGAGAAATTTCAATTACTCAGATATGGTAAACATGAGGAAATTAAATCTTCATCAGAGTACAAAACAAATTCTGGCCACAAAATAGAGCGAAACACCAACGTCAAAGACCTGGGAGTGATCATGTCGGAGGATCTCACCTTCAAGGACCATAACATTGTATCACTCGAAATCTGCTAGAAAAATGACAGGATGGATAATGAGAACCTTCAAAACTAGGGAGGCCAAGCCCATGATGACACTCTTCAGGTCACTTGTTCTATCTAGGCTGGAATATTGCTGCACACTAACAGCACCTTTCAAGGCAGGTGAAATTGCCGACCTAGAAAATGTACAGAGAACTTTCACGGCGCGCATAACGGAGATAAAACACCTCAATTATTGGGAGCGCTTGAGGTTCCTAAACCTGTATTCCCTGGAACGCAGGAGGGAGAGATACATGACTATATACACCTGGAAAATCCTAGAGGGACTAGTACCGAACTTGCACACGAAAATCACTCACTACGAAAGCAAAAGACTTCGCAGACGATGCACCATCCCCCCAATGAAAAGCAGGGGTGTCACTAGCACGTTAAGAGACCATACAATAAGTGTCAGGGGCCCGAGACTGTTCAACTGCCTCCCAGCACACATAAGGGGGATTACCAACAGACCCCTGGCAGTCTTCAAGCTGGCACTGGACAAGCACCTAAAGTCAGTTCCGGATCAGCCGGGCTGTGGCTCGTACGTTGGTTTGCGTGCAGCCAGCAGCAACAGCCTGGTTGATCAGGCTCTGATCCACCAGGAGGCCTGGTCACAGACCGGGCCGCAGGGGCGTTGACCCCCGGAACTCTCTCCAGGTAAACTCCAGGTAGTATTAAATTATTGTAAACAAATCTAAAATATATTTAGTTGGGTTAGGCTAAAATAAATTGCGCTTGTTATAATAAGGTTAGGTAAGTTTTCTAAGTTCCTTTTGGTGCAAAATTATAAATTTTTACATCAACGTTAATGAAAAAAATATGTCTTTAAACATATAAGAGAAAATTTTAGAAAGGACTTAATTTTAAATGAGTTCTTGCTATTGACCAGTTTTACACATTCGCACGACATATATATATATATATATATATAATATATATATATATATATATATATATATAATATATATATATATATATATATATATATATATATATATATATATATATATAATTATATAACACACACATA